ACTTTGCCAACCGAATTGCCAATTCGTGTTTGTTCAGGTATCGTCTTCAGTGATAGTCACTCAGGTCAATTTGGCTCGACAGCAGTTGACTATCTGTTAACTCCAAACAAAAGCCTCAGGTCTTCCATGCAGGTTACGGGTTAACTGGTCAAAAACTTACTAGGCTGAGTTAATAATTCATCTTTAACTTAGTTACTTGTGAATAGTGGTGGGAGGCTTTTAATTGGAGTTAACAGATAATCAACTGTGTCCCTTCGTTACTGAAGGGGCAAAATAAACTGACTGTCTATCACTGAAGATGACACCGGGAACAAACATGAATTTACAATTCAGTTCAGCCCTGGTACAAATTGATTGGCACAGTGGTAACGCGTACGCATTCCATGCGATGGATCCGGAGCTCAAATCCCAGACGGGACGGTGGATATGAGCTACTAATGAGCACTAATAAGAGCGAAACTCGAGTTGAGTGCTTCAGAGTGTATGGTTGACTGGAAGAGATGAAGAATGTGTTCACTTTGGAATACACACGACCTAGGTGTGGCCAATAGATGCAACGATTAGTAAAAATCACATTCTTACCTGTGAAGTGGGAACCCAATCCATGGACAATAACATACCCAGATTATTCGTCCAGATAATACTTCTTTACACATAGTGAGTTTTCCCGCAACCAAAACCGGTCATCACACTGGTCTTGATAGCCTGATAGAACACGTAACCAGTGTAGATGGTAAATAAGGTGAACTTTTGGTTTGTAGATACGCTACCTACGTTCATTAATCCATTATCACCTCTATGACTACAATTGTAATGTCTTTGCCATGACCTGTATGCGATCAGTTTGTGACAACATGCCGACTGATTAACTCTTCAAAACTGTCGAGTACAGGGCAGTTGGAAACTAATCTTTCGGGAGCAAGAGAGAGAGAAGTCGTCTATAGTTTTTATTTCGATCTGTGTAACACCAATTCGTCCTGATGGCAATTTAAGAGTACACCATTCGATCACTGATGCATACAGAAACTGAAAACGACTCATGGAATGTATGTAAACAGTATGCAATTATGTAAATTGGGTGCTGAGATAGCTTTTGTTTAACTTTTTGGTAGAGTTAGTGAATGATACCGTTTTCTTCTCTCTTTCTTTCAGGTGCTCAGGAAATTTTCTACTTTGGCCAGGAAATTGCGAGACTTACCGCATTAGAGGAATAGTATAAGACAAGTGCTAATTGGTAATTGTAATAGAAAGATCAATTAGCAAGGAACATGGGTTCCCAAACTTTGCGACCCTCGGGCGATCGATTATATCTGACTGAGTCAAATCCCATGAACCCTCATGACACAACGGATAGGGTTGTTTGATGGGATTGAGCAAACATAGATCGACTGTACTTTGCTGCCTAGCCCCAAAGTCTGCTTCGCGGTCACCTGACCTGCTTGCTCTTTATGATACCTGGAACCCCAATCATTAGTGGGTGGATAATGTAACGCGAACTAGTCAACATTATCAGAGACAGATGTCTTCCATTTGGCAACTTTTTACTTTAGATCATCTTTGATCTATACGTGAAGCGTTTTAGTCTTACAGTCCAATCTATGTTCGTATCCGTATACTGGTTTGTTGTTTGATGTGTGTTGCCTTGAAAGGTCACTAAAATTTGAAAATCAGTTCATATCTGACCGGTATATCTCGATGGCCGTGGCACATCCGTGTTCGACTTGCCTGTGCTCTGTGGTTTGTTTCCACCCGATCTAACAACTCCACAGTCCGCAATCACACGATGTTCATTCCCGAACGAAACTACTTTTGCCCACAGGGCAGTTAAACAGGATACGACAATACGAGCCTCATATGATGATTAATAATAATAATAATAATAATAATAATAATAATAATAACAATAATGATAATTGTGCATGACTGTATCCTCTTGACTGAGAGGCACACGAACTGGCAAACTTGAATGCGCGCTGCATTCTGATTGGTTTCACGGTTCCGGCGGTGAATTGTCCGCACATCCGACCAGTCTGGTTATTTGTTGCCTGGTCGGACCGACTGCGTTCACATCTGCCAACCCAACTGTCTCGGGCAGCTGTGGCGCATACACAACCAACTGCTTGCCCGTCGCCGTCGCAGCAGATTGGCCAGGGCGAATAAACTCTCTGGGTTTGGTTTAGCCCCAATCAGATACACGCTATGTGCGCGTGTGTGTATGCGGATGTGAGTGCCTCGTTTCGTGCGTGCGTGCGTGCACCCATGCACGTCGCAATTTGGCATGTGTGTGTATGCATGAAGCGTGAACAACCAATCACCCATTCCCGTTCATGCGTCCGGGACGCGACTCTGTTTTCCGCCCCCTCCCCCCCTCCGTACACCGCCACGCACACAAACATACACACACTCAATCAGTCAGTTTTTACGGGAGTTCGCGGGGTGGTGGGCAGGTGGACAAAATCCCCTGAACTGAAACCTGGTTCTTGTCACGATTTGATGCATGTGTCGTCTCTATCTGTGTGTGTTGGTGAGCGATTTTGTGTGATTTTGATGTGAATAAACAGAACTCATCTCAATCTAAGTAGTTGTGATTATGGTGGATAATTTATGGTCCCCTCAGAACCGAAGATCATCGACTAAGAAGAAATAATCATCCCATATCTACTATCGCTACTTAGCACATGGGACTACTACTTGCCATCCTTGTGCTAAGCGTACTGCTGCGATGCGATGCGATGCGCCCACGCAAGTATGCACACACGCACATCCGAGGCGTGCGTACCGACACACATACAAGTAGTAGAACACACTGACACTGGTGGCACACAAGCATAGACACACACACACACGCACACCCAGCTACTTACTGCCTAGACTGAAGTGCGCGGTGAAGTGCAACAGCAGTAGCAGCGATAGTGGTGCAAGCAATATCGTCAGCACACTCACGCTAATTTATCATTCGTCCACTTACACTCACTCGCCAGAAAGAAGACATTGATTTACGGTGGCACTTACACATTCTCGCTTGTTCTAGTGCTGCGCCTCAGCGAGTGGTCATTTGAGACGGACTAAAATCATTTTTCCAGACTCAGTCTGATCGGATCTGGCTGATCGTGTGACTGTGCGTGTGTGTGTTTTAGTGCGTGCGTAAGCGTGCGCTTGCTCTCGCGTGCATACACACTGATGTATGTGCACCCTGGTGTGTGGAGGAGGACATCATCTGGCCCTGGAAGGAGCAAGGCTTACGTCCAGGCATAACGCAGTGTCCCAACTACTGACAGTTGATCTGATTTATTCAAACCGATCGGTCTTCTTTCGATTCGCTGGACCGACGACGTCGCGGTGTATGTGTATTGGGCGAGCTCTTCTCTCTCGTTTCGCACACCGACTCTGCAACAATCACACAAACACACACGCACCTATATTGTACGCGTGCGCGCATACTGGCATTCCCCCCGCGGCAAACTGAACTACGAGGAACACTCATTCATCATTCTAATGAAAATTCTTCAGCTGTGACAACAAACTCATCGGCATAATCATCATCATTATCATTATCAACACCAACAACAGCATCATTGACTTCCAAATTCCCGTTACCGTGTGTAGACACCCAATCACGAGAGACCACTGATCAAATGAGTGTTCTGCTCAGTATGCACACTTCGCAGACAACCCCGGGGCTTGTGAAGCATGTGATTGGTTCGGCAGGTCCAGGCTATTCGGCGGTCGATCCGAATGTGGACGAATGTGCCGCGAATGCCGCGAGTGCCGCGGCAGCTACTGCGGCTCTGGCCGCTGCAGCGGCTGCTGGATGTTGCATGAGCCTTTCGGCAGCCGCTGTTGCGTCCTCCTCTTCCACCTCCGCCTCCTCCACCTCATCCTCATCCTCGACGACCAGTAACAACCAGCACGAATTTCATCCCTCACTGTTTCTCAATCATCATGGACAGCCAAAACCTGAGGATTATTATGCACTTCGACCTCAACCGACCAGTCCCCATCCCGTGCAATCTCCATTTGTCTATCCTCCAATGGGCCTCGTTCGGCGTGAAATGGAATCAATGCATGCGTCCGACGGTGTCTTACGACCAGATGACCCCGGTTTTCTCAGCCCTGAGACCGGAACTGTTTATACCGACCCGTCAGGACTCAAATGCCCCGGATCCTCTCCTTCATCATCAGCCAACAGTACATTTTTATCCCTAACACATGATCAAACACCACCACCACCACCCGCATGCGCAATAGATACAATGGCTCAACAGGCACAGCGTGATCATTCATTTCCTTCTTCTACCACCGTTTACGAATCCTCCTCTGTGCTATTAGGAGGATTGGGTAACGGATTAAAACCGGTCGGCGCATATCCTCACGAGGACCTCATGAATCCATATGGATCCGACACTGATCATCTGAATTGTCACACACCTTATTCACAATTGAACTGTTTGGCCACAGGCCGGAGTTACGCGTTCGGGGATGACTCGGCCGATCTGCATGATCCGTTTCGTCGACTGGCCGAAACTAGTCGATGTCGTCCGGAGTTTGATTGTGCTGATCTGATGGGCTGGAAACCAACCGATTTTGACGATCCCAATTATCCGATTGACAAATATGATACACCCATCAGTTCCGAGCCGGCCAATCGTCCCCTAGCCTCGGGCAAAGGTGTAGATTATGCTCCGGACACGTTACGTTATCCCACTTTCGGGAAAACTGTTCCACTCGCACTGAGGACTAATTATGCGCCAAACTCTGTCCCCGGCGCACACACGCATTTACACCAGCCGACAGCAACCGCAGTGATCTACCCATGGATGAAACGGGTTCATTCTAAAAGTGAGTTGTTATTTATCACTCTACAGAGCAGAGTCAGTTTGTACGCTTCAATAACTAGTCATAGGACGGAGGCGGGAGGGTGAATGTATCTTGCATAGACGAAACGGGACAAACAGTACACTATTTCAGATCTTGAAATTCACATGAACAATGACAAAAATGTGAAGTACAGTAATTTGCTTAAAACAAACATAGTTCACAAATTGTCACAAAATAGACTAATTTATGCCTATTCAATTTTGATCCCTTACATCCATGCAGAGTATCACATTTAGTGAAAAATTAATCAAGTGGAACTGTTTTCATATCATGTTATTTCATAAATGTAACGACATTTTTCAAAACCTTCTTAGCTAGAATCGAACCTATGCATCAACTTGACGAACATTCTTGACTGGGGGTGAAATTGAACACCAGAGTAATCAGATTACAGTCAGTTCCACTCTTTCACAATCGGTTTCTGGCCAAGAGTATCGACATTTTCTCGCCAGTTTTTCCACATTGTGATATTCCTTCAGATCCGTCTCAAAAGAAATATCACATAGATCGAAATAGGACATAAAATGTCATTTGAGTGTTGGGAAAAGGTTTCGTCCGCATCGAATCAAATGACGCGACAATAACGAATTCAAAAGTCCTGTGCAACCTTGATGATTTCTTATATGAGAGTAATGGAGGATTTAATTTGTTTCAGTGATGCATTCGTCGTGTGAATAGGGCGTAAGCTGATGAAACCCAACCAAGTCGAAACCGCTATTCACTGCTTCCCAGCTTTTCAGCTCACGCCTTATTTACACGACGAATTCATTACACAAACTTAACAATTCCGTTCCCTCTCTCTCTCTCTCTGCCCAGTCACTGGTGGTGATGGATAAGCCCTTGAAATGACAAGCAGAGTTCCATGAAACATAGGTGGTGGTGGTGATGATGCAGCGGTTTAGTCGCTGTCACCGGTGTGCTTTGAACTTTGTGGTCCGAGGTTCGAGCCCCACCACCGCCACCCTACTTTGGTGGTAGAGAAATCTTTACTGTCGTCCTGGTTCAATACCACGCCTAACCTAGGAGAGCCTTATGTGGTTCGCCACTTCAAGTCCCGCAGGACTTAGGTTGTCGGTTACCATCACTGAACTGCAGATTTACGTGACACACACTGGTGTGTAATAAAACAAAAGTCCCACCAGAACTGGGGATATAATGTGTACGAATCGATGTTGTAGCGTTATGCTAGCCGGTTTCCTCTCTGGCATCCATCAGATTACTCGTGTGTTTTGTTCCGGTGATTTTTTTCTTGACTTCCACATCAACCGGTATGGATGGATGTAGGGTGGCAGAACACATCTGTCTAGGTTTAAGTATTACCTCCAGACGTCGCGGTGAATCACTGAGGAGCCACAGATTTAATAACAGAGAAACGTCTCGCTACGCTAGATAGATGCACCGGAAATGATTCGTGATGCAAGAAACGAGATGGAGTTGATGGTTTATTTGTTGATTTGTTTTCGGAGCGGGGGGGATGGAGAAGGAACAAACAGGGGTTGCTCTCTTGACAATGCTCCCAGATTTGATAACCGCCTTTGTTGCGAACTGATTTGCCCTGATGGACAGACCTGTTTTGAGCCAATCACTGAAGCTGCATCCACACCACACCCTTCAGGTTATCTAGGCTGGGATAAATTCTTTTAAAAACGATGAGTTACAGTTATCCAGATTGTTCTATTAACCTGAATGATCTAGCCGAATCCGGCAAATTATTTGTTTGTCTTCAACACAACTCACTGTGTTAGTGTACAGAATTGAACGGCTGATCCAAAAGCTCAGTACTATCGGTGTGTGACTTCGTAGCTCAGCAGGTAGAGCGGACACCATGCGAAAAAGTATGCGGCGACGATGTGCGGGTTCGAATCTCACCGAGGCTACTGTCATATAATGTAACTTGAGTATATATTTTTTTTCAATTTTTATTACATACCAGTGTGTGATAACAGCAGATGGGACTGACCCCATAGTCACGAAGACTTGTCGTTTAGTAATGGTAACCGGCAACCTGGTCCCCGGGACTTGGAGTGGCGAACCACATAAGGCCCCAATAGGTTAGGCGTGGTATAGAACTGAGCGACAGCAAATCTGACTTCCATGAATGTTGGGTGGAGATGATGGTGGCGGGGCTCGAACCTCGGACCATAGGGTCCAAAGCACGCCAATGACTGCGACTAAACCAGCCATAGTAACTGCGTTTATGTAACATGGTGTTGGCTCCGACAGAACTGAACCAGTCACTATCGTATCGATTCTGTCCAACTACACATTGATCACCCAACTGCTGATCATTGACTGCAATTGTCTTCAAAAGGCTGCATTCGATTCTCATATTTGTAGCATTATTCCGACCCCCTCCATCATCACCACCACCACCATCACACTTTTCTTGGTCGGAACATACTTGAAAGGTTTGTTTCATCCGAACATACACATCAGATCACATCCACAGTGTCTTTTCATCTCTTTTCCTCGCTCTGACAGTTAAGCCTGTTCTGACAGTTAACATGGTTTTAAATAATCAGAACTCATATGTCAAATCGAAGAGGTTCGATTACTTAAAACAGGGCTGATTTTTTATGTGGATAACTAGTGGGTAACTTTTCGAATAGGAAGCTACACAATGCTTCTAATATATTCCGTTGTTCAGTCTGTGCACAACCAGAACACAATTTCGAATAGTTTTATGCTAGTTTTTATTGCTCTGTCCCATCCAACCAAACTCCATTTTCGTTCTAACGACTTCAAGAATGATACTCACCTGTTTTTGTCACAGGTTGATGTACAGCCAGCAACATATTTCAATTTGATGGCAGATGGGAGAATTCAGTGTGAATTTTCCACTTGGATGAGCAACCCAGTGGGTGGGGGGGGGGGC